TCTCTGTCTCTCTCTCTCTCCTTCTCTCTGCTCTCTCTCTCTCTGCCTCTCTCTCTCTCTCTCTCTCTCTCTCTCTCTCTCTCTCTCTCTCTCTCTCTCTCTCTCTCTCTCTCTCTCTCTCTCTCTTCTCTCTCTCTCTCCTCTCTCTCTCTCTCTCTCTCTTCACTCACTCACTCACACAGACATCTGACTTTCTCGAATTAAATGTTAAAGAAATTAAAATAAAATGTTTAGTAAATATTGATCTTCAGAGTGTTGTCTGGAGGGTTCGTGGAGATGTGATGGTTGGAGTTAAACACACTTGTTGGATGGTAACACTTATATTAGCAGAGTGTGGGAGGGAGAGGCCCAGCCTGCCTGTGTTGCCTGTCGTAGACCTAAGGCCGGAGTGAGGATCAGGCAGGGAGCGCAGCGCTCACATACGGCATCATGTGACGTCACACAAGCTAGTCACAGAGCCTAGCAAGGGGTCAACTATGTAAAACATATGGATGGTACTAACTATGATACTCAGAAAACATATACATATACAGGGGATCAGCAACTGTGCTGACAGAGTGTTTAGTGAACATTGAGCTTCAAAGTGTGTTTAGTAAACACTGAGCTTCAGGGTGTGTTTAGTAAACATTACGAATTTATAACTTGTATCACTGCAAGTGACCATGACACACCTGTACGCAGGTCATAATGTGGCTCCTAATATATGACCACCATTGTAAAGTTTATGAGTAAACATTTGTACCTGAATCTTTCTTACCATAAAAAAAAACAATAAAATGCCTAGGAAGCGAAACATCAAATATCATCATATTATTTAAAATTACATTAATGCCTGGAGTGAAAAAAACAATATACTTCTTTTCGTTTAAAAGATGACTCGGGATTATAACAGTTTAAATCACATTTCCTTTGAACAGTACTGAAGAAGAAATTAGTTTCGTTTAATTACAAGTTATAATTAATTAGTGGAAAGACTTTTATAAACTGTGTCATATAATGTAAATACATTTGTTATAGAAATGCAGTACACGTTATATATATATATATATATACATATATATATATATATATATATATATATATATATATATATATATATTATATATATATATATAACACTGAGCCAACGGCTCAGTGTTCAGCGAGCCGTTACCCAGACTAAGGGTCGACAATCCAAATGAATTCTTTATAAACGAGACCCAAAATCTGGTCATCTCAAAAATCTCTGATATTATCCTAACACCACAAGATTTTGAAAAGGCAGTAAATGACATGCCCATGCACTCTGCCCCAGACCCAGACTCATGGAACTCCGGGTTCGTCAGAAATGCAAGAAGACACTGTCACGTGCCTTCAACTTTCTATAGAGAGGGAGCATGGACACAGGGGTCATCTTACACACACTAAAAACAAGACACAGCCCCACTCCACAAAGGTGGGAGTAAAGCAATTGCAAAGAACTACAGACCAATATCACTTACATCCCATATCATAAAAATATTTGAAAGGGTTCTAAGAAGCAAGATCGCCATCCAACCACCACGAGTTTAGAGCAGGTTGCTCCTGCCTGTCCCAGCTACTGGACCACTATGACAAGGTCCTGGATGATGTAGAAGGCAAACAAAACGCAGATGTAGTATACACAGACTTTGCAAAAGCTTTTTATATGTGTGACCATCGTGTAAAAGTGCACAAAATGCGTGGTAAAAGAATAACAGTAAAAGTTGGTAGATGTCTTCCTTTGCGGATGACACCCGAATTTGCATGACAGTGTCCTCCATCGAAGACACCGCAAGACGCCAAGCGGACATCAACCAAATCTTCAAATGGGCCCCTCAAAACTAGGTGCGCCAAGCCCATGATGATCTCTTCAAATCGCTTGTTCTCTCTAGGCTGGAATTCAGCTGCACACTAACTGCTCTTTTCAAGGCAGGCGAAATTGCTGATCTGAAGAGTAAACAAAGAACTTTCACGGCACACATAAGTACGATAAGATACCTAAATTACTGGGAACGGTTGAAGTCCCTTGATATGTATTCCTTGGAACGCAGGCGAGAGAGATACCTGATAATATACACTTGGAAAATCCTAGAGGGATTAGTACCAAACTTGCACACGAAAATCACTCCCTTTGAAAGCAAGACTCGGCAGGAGATGCAACATTCCCCCAATGAAAAGTAGGTGCTCCACTAGTACACTGAGAGGCAACAAGGCAGGCACTGGACAGGCACCTCAAGTCAGTACCTGACCATCCGGGCTATGTTCGTACGTCAGTTTGCGTGGGGCCAGCAGTAACAGCCTGGTTGATCAAGCCCTGATCCACCATAAGGCCTGGTCTTAGACCGAGCCGCAGGGGCGTTAACCCCCGAAACCCTCTCCAGGAATACTCTAGGAAACTGACCCAAGCCTTCCGCTGGCTTACCGGTCCATCCCATAGTGAACCTCAAATACCCTAGAGTAGATAAACAAGGTCCCAGCACCACAATGAAGTACACAGTACTGTAACTGGTGCACTGTTCACTGTATCTGGGACTTCATTGTGGTAACTGTAACTCCGGTCATTGTGGTAACTGTAACTCCGGAGTAATTATCATTACTCCAGAGCTTCAGAGTGTCTTTAGCAAAAACAAAAGCCTATTGGACTGCACTGAAATATACATGAAGAATTTAAAGAAACTAATTTTTATGCTTGCAATAATGAGACCTCCGTTGTATACAATGTTCACGATTGCACGACACGAACCTAAAGTGATACACCCAAAATGGCGAACACTATGCTGAGGCAAATAGGTTTGATCCGAGGATGGGAGGTTAGAACCAGTTCCTTGGCTTAACAGGTGTTTTTGTCATATACTCAATAAGAGCATTAGTAGCTACTAAAGGTTACGTCTACACCAAGTTATCTGCATAGTGAATTTCCAAGCCCTTTCGTAATTTCTTATATTATTAAGTAGATCAAAATACGGTGGGTTGTGAGAAGTGGGTTATAGCATGTGTTTAAGTACCTGAAGATGAGAGGTGTGTAGAGGAGAGAGAGATTATGGGAGGAGTTTAGAGAATATTTATAGAGTTTCGAACCAAGCGAGAAAATTGTTGTTGCGGAGAACCTAAATGCTAAAGTGAGAAATTTTTTCTCGAGGGCGTAGAGAGTAAGTTTAGTTTATAGTTGCAGGGATACGTGACGACAGGGGCCTCTAAACGAGCTATGTTTGAAAAGAGGTTTGAATATACATAATATTTATTTTCTGAATAGAGGATAAATAAGTACAAAATTTATGATAAATGGTATGATGACATCAGCTTGTTAGACTACGTATTACTGAACAAAAGGTTGATGGGTAGACTTCTGGATAAGCAAGGTTTTAGAGGGGCGAGGTATGTCAGATCATTATTTAGTGGTAACTACAGTGAGAGTAAGAGGTAGATGGGGTACAAGGAGAATGTCATTAGTGGATAAGAGAGAGAAGTGGAAATCAATAAATTAAAGAAGATAGCTAGTGTGAGAAATAGACAAATATTGGGAGAAAGGTGAGATAGTAAGAGTGTAAGTAATGAGGTGGTCAAAGTGGTATGGGGTAGATTTAAGAATGCAGTGTTAGAATGTGCAGCAGAAGTTTGTGGGTATAGAAGGGAGGGTACAGAAGGAAGGAGTGATTGGTGGAATGAAAAAGTAAAGAGTGGTAAGAGAGGAAAACTTAGTATTTGTGAGCTTTCTGCAATGTGGAAGTGATATACGGAGGATGGAGTATATAAAGAGTAAGACAAGTTAAAAAAGTGGTGAGGAAGTGCAAAAGGAGAGCTAATAAGAGAGTGGGTTAGGGTTTCATCAGCAAATTTTGCTGAGAATAAAAAAAAGTTATGGAGTGAAATTAATAAGTTGAGAAAGCCTAGGGAGCAAAAGGATGCAGCAATTAAAACAGAAGAGGGAGATATTGGATGGGGAGGTAGAGGTATAGGAAAATGAATGGAATATTTTTTGGAGTTAAGTGTTAATAGAGATAGAGGCAATAATTTCATGTATTGAGCAGGGAGGTATAACATCCTGTAGGAGTGAAGAAGAACCAGATGTGAGGGTGGAGGAGGTGCGTGATGCAGTGGGTAGAATGAAAGGGAGTAAAGCAGCTGGGATTGATGTGATCAAGAGAGAAGTGTTAAAAACAGGTGGGAATATAATTTTTGAGTAGTTAGTGTATCTATTCAATATATACATTAAAGGTGGGAAGAGACTGAAAGAGAGCATGAATAGTTCTTTTGTATAAGGAAAAACAGGATTAAAGAGAGTGTAATACTTATAGGGAAATAAGCCTGTTGAGTATACTAAGTAAAGTGTATGGTAGTTATTACTGAATGAACGAAAAATAAGACAGTAGGATGCAGATGAACAATGAGGTTTCAAGATGGGTTTACAGTGAAATATAAAAGTGATCACTATTTAGATAATGGTAAGGAACTTTTTTGGACATTTATGGATTTAGAAAAGCCATATGATAGGGTGACTAGAGGATCAATGTGGTAGATGTTGCAAATGTACTAAATAGGTGATAGGTTACTAAAAGTAGTGAAGGATAGTGAAGCTCAGGTTTTGGTAAATAGGAGAGGGAGGGGAGTTATCCAGGTAAATCAGGCCTAAGATTGAGTTGTGTGAGGTCACCATGGTTGTGTAACATACTTACGTATAGGGTTATAAACTAAGTGAACACTAGGGTGTTGGGAGAGGTGTGGAAGTAAAATACATATATAATGAATTTTATACAAAGTGGGAGTTGTCGAAATTGCTTTTTGCCGATGATACGATATTTTGGGAGATTCTGAAGAAAGGTTGCAAAGATTAGTAGAGGAATTTGGGAGGGTATATAAAAAGGAGGAATTTAAAAGTGAATTTAGGAAAGAACAAGGTGATGAGAGCAACAAAAAAAATCTAGGCAATGAAATATTGGATGTCATATTGGAGGGAGAAAACAAGAAGGAAGTAAATGTGTTGAGATATTTGGGAGTAAACTATGAATCATGAGGTGAACCATAGAATTGACAAGGAGAAAAAGTGGCTGGTACATTGAACCATCTTGGCGAAAGGGGGAATGCACCAGAGAATGGTGGTTCCAACACTGGAGGCTGGAGGCAGTGGAGATGTAGTGTTTGAGGGCAATGTGTGGAACGTGGAAGTTAGGTTTGAGGTTACAAAATTTTATTCAAAGGATTGAGGAGAGGTTCTTGAGGAAGTTATGAAATTGAGAGAGGGAGGAGCAAAATAGGACGACTAGGAGAGTGAATAAATCTGGGGTGGAGTGAAAGGTTGGGGGGAGGGAGCAAAGGAGGTTTTGAGTGCTAGTGGCTCGGTTATCCATCTAGCCTGTGAGAGTGTGCATTACTTAGGAGTGGAGGTAAGTGGTTTTTATAACCTGATGTGCTGTTGTAATGTGAGCAAGGCAACATTTATGAAAGAATTCAGGAAAACAAGTTTGCCGGACTTGAGTTGTGCACTCTGAAGCAGGGGTGGGGATGTTGCACTTCAGAGGGTCATCTGAAATGTGATGTGGTGTACAGCTGGGGTGAATATTGAGACCAATTATCCAACATCATCCTACCCCAACACATACACGTATTAACATCGGTGTTTTCTCCCCAGGGTAGGATGGCTGGGTAAGCAGGCTGGCGGCCAGTCACGGGAGCCGGGAAGGGAGTGGGGGCCCGGGTGGGGGCGGGCCCACCCCAGGGGGCGGCATCCCGGGCGGCCCCAGCGGGCCACCCCCACCCCAAACAGCTGCCGGAGCCGCTGGCCCGCCCCGCCGGGCGGGCACGGTAAGCGGACAAGGTGGACCGGGCCGGGGTCCATCCGTGTCTTCGAGCGGCGGCGGCGCTGATGTAGGCCAGTATGGCGGGGCGGGTCCTGGCGGCGGCGGCGGCGGCGGCGGCGGTGGCGGCGGAGGCGGCGGAGGGTCCTTAGAAGACACCCTAGAACAGTGGAGCCGCAACCCGCTGCTGTGCTGGCTTTGTGAGGAGCTGTACGACGAGCCGTGCCTACTAGCCTGCTACCACACCTTCTGTACCCGCTGCCTTACACCCAGACTACACGACTCCAAGATTGCCTGCCCTCTCTGTGGGTGAGTAGCTTTCTCTCTCTCTCTCTCTCTCTCTCTCTCTCTCTCTCTCTCTCTCTTTCACACGCACAATCACCGAGGTACCTGCAGGGACCTCTGTCAACTTTAATGTTTAGTTTTAGAAGTTAATTTGAGGTGTTTTAATCTATTATGACTGTTTATTGTTGTATTGCGACGGTTTTATTGCGACAGTTGGGACATGCAAGAATGCTTTAATTGCAATACAAAACTGTTCTTGATGTGAGGGGAGATGGAGAATTGCGTCAACATAATGACTGTCAGTGTGTGAAACACTGTATGGCATATAGTGCTGAAAGAGAGAGAGTTAGTTCACAATTCTCTGTTTACTGTGTAACACTGTGCTCTCTCTCTCCCTTTCTCCCTCTGAGTGCAACTTACACTCAGCCATTACTAATGTGATGGAGTACAGCCATCACTCAGCCATTAGTAACGTGATGGAGTGCAGTCATCACTCAGTCATAGGTACCATGATGGAGTACAGTCATTAATCAGCCATTAGTAACGTGATGGAGTACAGTCATCACTCAGTCATTAGTAACGTGATGGAGTACAGTCATTAATCAGCCATTAGTAACGTGATGGAGTACAGTCATCACTCAGTCATTAGTAACGTGATGGAGTACAGTCATCACTCAGCCATTAGTAACGTGATGGAGTACAGTCATCACTCAGCCATTAGTAACGTGATGGAGTACAGTCATCACTCAGTCATAGGTACCATGATGGAGTACAGTCATTAATCAGCCATTAGTAACGTGATGGAGTACAGTCATCACTCAGCCATTAGTATCGTGATGGAGTACAGTCATCACTCAGTCATAGGTACCATGATGGAGTACAGTCATTAATCAGCCATTAGTAACGTGATGGAGTACAGTCATCACTCAGTCATTAGCAACGTGATGGAGTACAGTCATCACTCAGTCATTAGTAACGTGATGGAGGACAGTCATCACTCAGTCATTAGCAACGTGATGGAGTACAGTCATCACTCAGCCATTAGCAACGTGATGGAGTACAGTCATCACTCAGTCATTAGTAACGTGATGGAGTACAGTCATCACTCAGCCATTAGTAACGTGATGGAGTACAGTCATCACTCAGTCATTAGCAACGTGATGGAGTACAGTCATCACTTAGTCATAGGTACCGTGACGGAGGACAGTCATCACTCAGCCATTAGTAACGTGATGGAGTACAGTCATCACTCAGCCATTAGTAACGTGATGGAGTACAGTCATCACTCAGTCATTAGTAACGTGATGGAGTACAGTCATCACTCAGCCATTAGTAACGTGATGGAGTACAGTCATCACTCAGCCATTAGTAACGTGATGGAGTACAGTCATCACTCAGCCATTAGTAACGTGATGGAGTACAGTCATCACTCAGCCATTAGTAACGTGATGGAGTACAGTCATCACTCAGCCATTAGTAACGTGATGGAGTACAGTCATCAATCAGCCATTAGTAACGTGATGGAGTACAGTCATCACTCAGCCATTAGTAACGTGATGGAGTACAGTCATCACTCAGCCATTAGTAACGTGATGGAGTACAGTCATCACTTAGTCATAGGTACCGTGACGGAGGACAGTCATCACTCAGCCATTAGTAACGTGATGGAGTACAGTCATCACTCAGTCATAGGTACTGTGACGGAGGACAGTCATCACTCAGCCATTAGTAACGTGATGGAGGACAGTCATCACTCAGCCATTAGTAACGTGATGGAGTACAGTCATCACTCAGTCATAGGTACTGTGACGGAGGACAGTCATCACTCAGCCATTAGTAACGTGATGGAGTACAGTCATCACTCAGTCATAGGTACTGTGACGGAGGACAGTCATCACTCAGCCATTAGTAACGTGATGGAGTACAGTCATCACTCAGCCATTAGTAACGTGATGGAGTACAGTCATCACTCAGTCATAGGTACCGTGATGGAGGACAGTCATCACTCAGCCATTAGTAACGTGATGGAGTACAGTCATCACTCAGCCATTAGTAACGTGATGGAGTACAGTCATCACTCAGCCATTAGTAACGTGATGGAGCACAGTTATCACTCAGCCATTAGTAACGTGATGGAGTACAGTCATCACTCAGCCATTAGTAACGTGATGGAGCACAGTTATCACTCAGCCATTAGTAACGTGATGGAGCACAGTTATCACTCAGCCATTAGTAACGTGATGGAGCACAGTTATCACTCAGCCATTAGTAACGTGATGGAGTACAGTCATCACTCAGCCATTAGTAACGTGATGGAGCACAGTTATCACTCAGCCATTAGTAACGTGATGGAGCACAGTTATCACTCAGCCATTAGTAACGTGCAGTACAGTCATCACTCATCCATTAGTAACCTGATGGAGTACAGTCATCACTCAGCCATTAGTAACGTGATGGAGTACAGTCATCACTCAGCCATTAGTAACGAGATGGAGTACAGTCATCACTCAGCCATTAGTAACGTGATGGAGAACAGTCATCACTCAGCCAATAGTAACGTGATGGAGTACAGTCATCAATCAGCCATTAGTAACGTGATGGAGCACAGTCATCACTCAGCCATAAGTACCGTGATGGAGTACAGTCATCACTCAGCCATTAGTAACTTGATGGAGTACGGTCATCAATCAGCCATTAGTAACGTGATGAAATACAGTCATCACCCATCCATTAGTAACGTGATGGAGTACAGTCATCAATCATCCATTAGTAACGTGGAGTACAGTCATCAATCAGCCATTAGTAACGTGATGGAGTAGAGTCACCAATCAGCCATTAGTAACGTGGAGTACAGTCATCAATCAGCCATTAGTGATGTGATGGAGTACAGTCATCAATCAGCCATTAGTAACGTGATGGAGTACAGTCACCAATCAGCCATTAGTAACGTGGAGTACAGTCACCAATCAGCCATTAGTAACGTGATGGAGTACAGTCATCAATCAGCCATTAGTAACGTGATGGAGTACAGCCACCAATCAGCTATTACTAACGTGATGGAGTACAGTCACCAATCAACCATTAGTAACGTGATGGAGGGCAGTCATCACTCAGCCATCAGTAACGTGATGGAGTATACTAACCAATCAGCCATTACTAACTGATGGGGTACAGCTATCACTCAGCCATTAGTAACTGATAAAGGACAGTCATCACTCAGCCATTAGTAACTGATGGAGTACAGTCATCACTCAGCCATTAGTAACGTGATGGAGAACAGTCACCACTCAGTCATTAGTAACGTGATGGAGGACAGTCATCAATCAGCCATTAGTAACGTGATGGAGTACAGTCTCCAATCAGCCATTAGTAACGTAATGGAGTACAGTCATCACTAAGCCATTAGTAACGTGATGGAGGACAGTCATCAATCAGCCATTAGTAACGTGGTGGAGGACAGTCATCAATCAGCCATTAGTAACGTGGTGGAGGACAGTCATCAATCAGCCATTAGTAACGTGATGTAGGACAGTCATCAATCACCCATTACTAACGTGATGGAGTACAGTCACTAATCAGCCATTACTAACTGACGGAGTACAGACATCACTCAGCCATTAGTAACTGATGGAGGACAGTCATCAATCAGCCATTAGTAACTGATGGAGTACAGTCATCACTCAGCCATTAGTAACTGATGGAGTACAGTCATCACTCAGGCATTAGTAACGTGATGGAGGACTGTCAACACTCAGCCATTAGTAACGTGATGGAGGACAGTCATCAATCAGCCATTAGTAACGTGATGGAGTACAGTCTCCAATCAGCCATTAGTAACGTGATGGAGGACAGTCATCACTCAGCCATTAGTAAAGTGATGGAGGACAGTCATCAATCAGCCATTAGTAACGTGATGGAGGACAGTCATCACTCAGCCATTAGTAACGTGATGGAGGCAGTCATCAATCAGCCAGTAGTAACGTGATGGAGTACAGTCTCCAATCAGTCATTAGTAATGTGATGGAGGACAGTCATCACTCAGCCATTAGTAACGTGATGGAGTACAGTCTCCAATCAGCCATTAGTAACGTGATGGAGTACAGTCTCCAATCAGCCATTAATAACGTGGTGGAGGACAGTCATCAATCAGCCATTAGTAACGTGATGGAGGACAGTCATCAATCAGCCATTAGTAACGTGATGTAGGACAGTCATCAATCAGCCATTAGTAACGTGATGGAGTACAGTCTCCAATCAGCCATTAGTAACGTGATGGAGTACAGTCTCCAATCAGCCATTAATAACGTGATGGAGTACAGTCACTAATCAGCCATTACTAACTGACGGAGTACAGACATCACTCAGCCATTAGTAACTGATGGAGGACAGTCATCAATCAGCCATTAGTAACTGATGGAGTACAGTCATCACTCAGCCATTAGTAACTGATGGAGTACAGTCATCACTCAGGCATTAGTAACGTGATGGAGGACTGTCAACACTCAGCCATTAGTAACGTGATGGAGGACAGTCATCAATCAGTCATTAGTAACGTGATGGAGTACAGTCTCCAATCAGCCATTAGTAACGTGATGGAGGACAGTCATCACTCAGCCATTAGTAAAGTGATGGAGGACAGTCATCAATCAGCCATTAGTAACGTGATGGAGGACAGTCATCACTCAGCCATTAGTAACGTGATGGATGCAGTCATCAATCAGCCAGTAGTAACGTGATGGAGTACAGTCTCCAATCAGTCATTAGTAATGTGATGGAGGACAGTCATCACTCAGCCATTAGTAACGTGATGGAGTACAGTCTCCAATCAGCCATTAGTAACGTGATGGAGTACAGTCTCCAATCAGCCATTAATAACGTGGTGGAGGACAGTCATCAATCAGCCATTAGTAACGTGATGGAGGACAGTCATCAATCAGCCATTAGTAACGTGATGTAGGACAGTCATCAATCAGCCATTAGTAACGTGATGGAGTACAGTCACTAATCAGCCATTACTAACTGAC